AATACTTTTAACTTTTATACAGATGGATCAGTTATCAATATTGGTACTAACCAGTGCTCTATGGGTATAGGTTGGGCACTAATAGATAATAACAACCAAATAATTCACAAATTCTCAACCAAAATCTATTTATAGCCAATCTCATACAAAGCTGAACTCAAAAAAGCCTTTCTTTTTTGTTTTTTTTTTAGGTTTTAAGTTTAAATATACTATATATATAAATTAGTGTAGAGAATTGTTTAGATAGTATTATGTAATTTTTAAAGAGCCTGACATAGGCTTGTAATTGTGACTATTCAATATGAATAAAAAATCCTATATTTAGTTTAGTGTTCCTTATTTTATCTTTACTCTCTTCTTTTTTTTTATTTGTTTTTTTATATATTCTCTATACCTCTGTATATGTTTTATAAAATTTTTTTTTTTTTTTACTTCTCTATGAGAAGATATTATCAAATTAGCGATATTCTATTGTAGTGTAGTGGTGGGACAAGCTCCTAAATGATATTATCTTAATTGATTGTATACTCCTAATATAGCATGTTTATCTGTAGATACATGTAGATAATTGGTTAAATTACACAAAGTAATTGCAGGATATCAAATCTGTAGTTTTAATATTTAACTTTCTCTATAAGGATATAACTTGATTAAATAAAGATACTAGTATGATCTGCCTAAGTGAAGCAAAAAAATTATTAATTATTTAAACTTTGAATATAGTCTTGAATGATTTTAGACAATCTTGACATTGAATATTTTACATAGTATGAATACTTCAAATATACAACACTGTATATATTTAGTATGTTTGATGTGTGCAAATTATATATTTATTCAGATAGTGAAAAATCTCTAAACAGAACTCTAAACAGAATTTTTTCTATCTCTGTTAATATTTAAACAATTCTCTTTTTACTATCTTTACTAAGATTTATATATACAATTTATGAAAATATTGCAATGATTACTAATTATAAATATATAAATAATATTCTTAGTGATTAAAAAAAATAGTGTTTTGTTTAAAGATTTTTTATTCACCTAGTATATGATTTTTTATATATATCCTAATGCTAAGAAGCCACTATAATGCAAGCCAAAATTTTTAATAAATTCTGAAATATTCTAAAAATTTATAAGTAATTCTAGAAAATTTTTATATATATGAAATTTGAAAAAATTTGGATTTGCATATCACTAGTTTTGATAGATATTTTAAATTTTTTTAAAAACTTTGAATGAAGATATCTCAACAACTACCAAGTCAATTTCAATAAATTTTTTTATTTGAATTCTATAGATTCATAGAATTCAAACAAAAAAAGTTCATCAAATTTAACTAAGTAGTTGCTGAGATATCTTCACTTAAAGTTTAAAAAAAATTTTGTATAGTTTGTTTTAATAGACATTTGATTTTTTTCAAACTTTGAGCAAAAATATCTCAGTAACTACTAGGTCAAATTCGATAAACTTTTTTTTATTGGAATTCTATGAATCTATTGAATTCAAAGAAAAAAAAGTTTATCAAATTTGGCTTTGTAATTACTAAGATATCTTTGCTCAACATTTAAAAAAAGTTAGGGGTATGAATAATAAATTTGGGGGTATAAAAACTAGCCCCCATGATTTATAGTGTGAATTTTAGTTGTTAGCTATGCAATATTATAGGAATTGCATGCTCAAATTCCTATACCGAGAAGTATATAATCCTTAGAGCAATAATTTTTTGTCTGAAACGTATAGGAGGCACTCTATTTCTATTTAAATCATGTCTGTTATCAACATCCAATCGACATACCAGACCATGTAATGTATTTTTCTTCGCATAATGTCAATATTAAACCTTTATGCATCTAAATTTCGATTTCTGAATAGATCCTATAAACTAAATTCACTACGCATGACAGGCGTCAATCTAGTTAACAAATTAACGCTTCTCTCAATGTAATTAGCTAGTGATTGAGGTGACGCTCAAACATGACAATCAATTGAAATAAAGATTGCGATCGGTGCTTGAGCTATCTCTTTCTCCGATTTCCATTATGACTACAAAAAGGCGATTACTTAGTTACCTAAAAATTTAGCACCCAAGCCTTTGGTGTTTGAAATTTGCCTTCAGCCATCCTCTTAACAATTTCACAAATAACTTATCATTACAACAGCAGCCATATTTGGTTACAAGTCATTATGGCAACAATCATATTCGACAATGCAACTTTATATAGATTCGTTAAACGAAGTGATATAGAAACATAGTGAAGCATGAACGTTATTCTAATAAAATATATACGACATATAAAAAAAATAATTTTTATTCTATGATCATTAAACATCTTTTATTTGTTATAAGAGTAGAATAATTTTTGGTAGCAATGACGTCTTGTTGAGGATCCATGTTACGAAAAAAAAATAACAATAAAATGATAATGTATTTGAGCTTGAGCAATCTCTTCGATTACTCTGTCAATGATAAATTTTAACCAATCAGTGCAGCTCTATGAAAAAAATTGGTGGTCGCAGCTCCAGGTTTTTTTGACCGAAATGATGACCACGATCAATTTTTTCGGCCAATCAAATCGTTCGGTTAACTCATTGAGGTAGGCGCTTGAGAACGGCTTAAATCAATGTTTGATTTTATTAGTTGAGGCGCATCTCTACTTATACCCACAAAAACCTTTTTCAAACTTTAAATCTACCCTAAATACTAATCTAAGCTAATGCAAAAAATATATGCTAATTATTTAATTAAATACAAAATTTACAATAGAAAAATAAGACCATAGAATAGAATTTATAATAGAGCAATAGAATGTCAACACTGATCTTTATATATTTGTGGTGTTATAAATTATCGTATTTAAAATCTTTAAGAGTCATCAGTACAAGCGATGGCATAAGCTAGTGAATATTCTATGAATGCAAATATTTTTGTAAGAATACATCATCATTTATCCTCCCACGTCTGTTTATATCCGAGGAATCTCTTAGTGGAATTTAATAATTCTTGATGCGCTGAAGGTCCACTAGAAATATCTGATGGATTATCGATCGATTTCCATTGTATCATAAGTGGTGGATCAATAGTATATGATTTAACGAATCCCTTGGAAGCTCTATATGTCAATTCGTTATCAATGGATTCTCTTGTTTGGTTAGCACTAAGATCCTTTACTAATTTTCGCGAGACTGCGTAACAATGTGTAGTAGTTGGCCACGTTGATATATGCAGCTTAAATTTGCCGTTTTCTGCTACAACCTCACCTTCATTATCTCTATAAGAATTTCCAACATATAACAATTCCCAATCATGGGGCAAAACGCGACCAAAGCCACTCATTATTTTAGAGATTTCAAATTCAATGTCTACATCATCTTCAATAATCAAAGCATTTCTATAATCATTTTTTATGATTTCTTCAAGGACAAAATAATGACTTAGATAGCAAGCTTTTTGGGCATTTGTTAA